AATTCAATTTATTTATCAGTTCAACAATTAGTTTTCAACAGCAGAGTTATCTTATCCATTGTATAATATTTGAGTATAGTCTTAAAATCAAAAAATTTTATAATGAAACTACTAAGCATTGGTGGATTAGCTTTTGTACTTGTTGGATTGGCTTCAGCAGGACATCATCATGGTGGTGGTGGTGATGGTGGTGGTCATGGTGGTTCTGTTAGTTATAGCGTTGTAACAAAGCACGACGATTCACATGGACACGGTGGTCACGGTGGTCACGGTGGTCATGGTGGTCATGGTGGTCATGATGGCCATCATGAACATAGCAGTTATGTTATAACTTCGCATGGTGGAGGACATGACGGCGGACATAGTGGATATGATGGTGGACATGGTGGTCATGATGGCGGTCACGATGCAGGACACCATGGCGGTCACGAAGCTCACCATTATCCTAAATATGAGTTCAGTTATGGTGTTGAAGATAAACATCATGGAGATAAAAAAAGTCAATGGGAACATCGTGATGGTGATCATGTGAAAGGTAATGAAGTACATTTGTATATAATTTTATTAACATATTCACATAATATGATTATTTACATTGTTTTCATAGGTAGTTACTCACTTAAGGAAGCTGATGGCACTACTCGCGTTGTAGAATACACTGCTGATAAACACAGTGGATTCAATGCTAAGGTCCATAAAATCGGACATGCCCACGGTGGTCATGATGGAGGTCACGATCATGGTCACGGACATGGTCATGGTCATGGACATGGTGGTCATGGAAGCAGTTACGTTAATGTTAAACAACATCATTAAATGCGAAAGAATTTCATATTGAAAAACTATAGAATATATATCAGTGCAAACTGTTAAAATAGTTGTTTAATATGTAAATAATAAATACGAGTATTCATATAGGAATAAAAATGTTTTACTTTGAAAATGTTTACGATATAAGATATAGTGTTTAATTTGTTAAATTTTTAATTACAATATTGAAATGGAAATTGCTTTCGAATAAGTGGAGTACATCTGTATATCATTTACTAAGTACCCAATAATTACAAAACTTTTAAGAGAAGGGTGAAAAATAGCTATTTGGTTCTTTGTTCTTTTAAAGTATTAGTCAATTTATTAGTCAATATAATTATAGATTTGTTGTAAATTCGTTCCAATTTGAAACAAAACTTCACTAATTTAACGAGAATAAACTATGAAGAAGTTACCAATATATTAATTTAGATTATTTATCTTATTTAAAGTCTTCGTATTAGGAAGTATTTGAAACACGCTCAAATATTTTAAACATTATATGTTTTTAGAAAATAAATTATAAATATTTTGTAGAAATTTTAAGAAAATAGCTTGTTTGCATTTACATTTTGAGTCTGTTTGTTTTGAAATCGTCTTTGTTGTATTAAATTTGAAGATCAGTCAATAAATTATTTATTTAAGTTGAAAAATTTTTTCAGCTATCAGACCAACCACAATAAAACGCTTTTATTTAAAAATTTTTAGAAGCAGATATTTCGTTCTTTATTTTAGAACATCTTCAGTGCTATAATAATTATACAAAAAAATTACAAAATAAAACTTATAAAAGTTACACATTACAATTAAAATATTACCTTAATTTTTTAATAAAAAGCTTAACTTAAGGTTTATAAAATTACAATTAAAAACAATATATACGTAAAGTAACATATATATAAAATGACACTATTAAAGGCACAAATATTAAATTAACAATAATTATTTTTGTTTTTAACATCACATATGTTCGATATCAGACAATAATAAACATAGAAACAAAAATAAGGAAAATGGAATTATAAAATCTATTTTGTTATGTCAAAAACTTTAGTACAACTTATATAGTTGTCTTTGTTTAATAAATTTAAAAAATATAATATACATTATTATTATTTCTCTTAAAACATCTCAGAATCAATATCAAACGGTCAAATTATTTTCTTTCTTCTTTTTTTTTTTTTTTGTTTTCTTTTAACCGATATTTGTCAAGTATATTAGAATAAAGAGCACTGAAATTCTCTGTGTCTTTTTTAAAATTCACCACCTGGTTGTAATTTAATATAATGTGTATGACTTCAGCTAGTACTCTTTTTTGGTAATTATTTTCAATTTCAAGAATTGAAGCATCTTCGAAATTGAAAGTATGTTTAGCTGAATGATGATGTTCAGATAAGGCTGTTTTTTTATAATCATCAGTGCGTCTGCACGTACTTTTATGCTCACTTAACCTTTTTGATAATTTTTGTTTCGTCATTCCTATATAAGATTTACTGCAATCATTACAATTAATCTTATATATTAGATTAGACAAATTTTCTTTTTTCTCTTGATCTTTCAGCTTTGAGAAAAAAACATTGGTTGTTTTTAAATTATATAATACAACGTCAATAATTTGTTCTTCTTTGAAAAGTTTCGAAATTTTTTGAGATAAACCAGGAATGTTTGGAAAAGTGCACCTTTTTTTAATATTGTTAGAATTGCTCACTGTTGTGTTTTTAACTAATTGTGTATGTTTATTTGATAATAATATTTTGTTAACGAAATATTTAGGATAGTTATTATTATTTAGTATTTTTTTAATTTGTTTAATATTATCTTCCATAAATATTTCATCACTTAAAGCTTTAACTCTGCTTATAAAGTTTCTAACAGTGTTGACTTTTTGGTGTATTGGATGATTAGATAAAAAATTCAGTAATCTACCTGAAGATGTCGGTTTTTTATACCAGTTGGTGATAATCTTTTTGTCATTTCTTATGACCATAATATCTAAGAAAGGAATTTTTCCATCCTTTTCAATTTCATATGTAAATTGAATGTGTGGATTCACATTGTTAAAAGCTGTAACCGTATTATTAACTTCGTCTTTGGGTATTGCAAATAACGTATCATCAACATAATACATAGCCAATGTTACTTCAAATGGTAATTTATTTAAAACTGTTGATATTATAAACTCCATAATGAAGTTAGCTAGTGATGGTGATGCCGGATTTCCCATTGATGTACCGTCCAATTGATGAATAATTTTATTATTGAATTTAAAAAAGCTATTGTTAAAAATAAATAAAATTATTTCTATGAATATGTCTTTTGGAATTGCCGTAAAACAACTTATAAAACACCAGTATTTTTTAATCATTTCTACCATCAAGGTTTTGGGAATGCTAGGAAACAGGGATATTACATCTAATGATATTAATATGTATCCATCTGGAATATTCGTTTTCTTTAAAATCTCAATTGCTTCGAATGAGTTTTTAATACTCCGGTGGAAAGTGGAACATATTTTTGAGAAAATTTTATGAATAAATGTAGATAAGTTGTATGTAGGTGAGTTAATGTTACTAATCACAGGTCTATAAGCTATTTTTTGTATAATTATTATAGCACTGAAGATGTTCTAAAATAAAGAACGAAATATCTGCTTCTAAAAATTTTTAAATAAAAGCGTTTTATTGTGGTTGGTCTGATAGCTGAAAAAAATTTTTCAACTTAAATAATACGAAACCAGATGATAAACAAACTTAATCATGAATACTAATGGCTTCTTTATGGAAATAAAAACAAAATTTGGTTACAAGAACATGTTACTATTAAAACAATTAATGAACTTAAGCAAAACATTGGCAAATTATAACAACAGAAGAATTTTCTTGCTCAAATGTAGACAAAAAAATATAATACCTTCACATATAAAAAATAATATTAACTGCATATTCACTATTACAACAGACAATCATCCGTATAAGAATAAAGCTGACAATATTTTAAAAAAATTTAGACGATCAATTTTAAACTTGGAAATCAAAATAACAATATGGAAAATTGATATTACTAACAAAGAAATAATCAAAATAAAATCTGAACTTAGACAAAACATTGATACAATAACTTTAGATAACTTTTATATAAGATTAAAACATAGATACAACTCGTTGTTTGATAAAGTTAAGAAATCAAATTGTAAAAAATTCGAAAATCTGATAAAAAAACATGACACATTTACAATTACTTGTAGAAAGGAATTTATTCATAATTATACCGATATTGAACTTCCTCCACCAGTCCAAAGAATTATAGGAATGGGTCCAAAATTTTCTCTACAATTGGAAACAAAAGATGTCAACATGACTACTATTATTAAAGATTTTGAATATTGTGTACAACAACATCCGTATAACAATAATAAATTAGACCAATTGAGAATGAAAGGAATAAATATGATTACCAATTTTTATTCAAATGGACAATTACTTAATAAAACCAATAGTATGAAAAAAGACATAAATGCTACGAAAAAATTTTTACATGATAACAACAACATTTTTGTAAAAAGAGCAGATAAGGGAAATTCTACTGTCATTTTATATAAGGAAGAATATTTCCAATATATGACAGAGATGTTTAGTGATGAAAATAAGTATGAAGTTGTAAATAAAGATCCTACCACATCAATTGAGACTAAAAGTAATGCAATTATTGATTCACTATCAAAAGCGGGAATCATCGAAAAAACCGAAGTGTATAAATTAAAAAAACATAACAGTATATGCCCCAAAGCATATGGTCTCAGAAAAACTCATAAAGTAGGAAAAATAGCTTATAGACCTGTGATTAGTAACATTAACTCACCTACATACAACTTATCTACATTTATTCATAAAATTTTCTCAAAAATATGTTCCACTTTCCACCGGAGTATTAAAAACTCATTCGAAGCAATTGAGATTTTAAAGAAAACGAATATTCCAGATGGATACATATTAATATCATTAGATGTAATATCCCTGTTTCCTAGCATTCCCAAAACCTTGATGGTAGAAATGATTAAAAAATACTGGTGTTTTATAAGTTGTTTTACGGCAATTCCAAAAGACATATTCATAGAAATAATTTTATTTATTTTTAACAATAGCTTTTTTAAATTCAATAATAAAATTATTCATCAATTGGACGGTACATCAATGGGAAATCCGGCATCACCATCACTAGCTAACTTCATTATGGAGTTTATAATATCAACAGTTTTAAATAAATTACCATTTGAAGTAACATTGGCTATGTATTATGTTGATGATACGTTATTTGCAATACCCAAAGACGAAGTTAATAATACGGTTACAGCTTTCAACAATGTGAATCCACACATTCAATTTACATATGAAGTTGAAAAGGATGGAAAAATTCCTTTCTTAGATATTATGGTCATAAGAAATGACAACAAGATTATCACCAACTGGTATAAAAAACCGACATCTTCAGGTAGATTACTGAATTTTTTATCTAATCATCCAATACACCAAAAAATCAACACTGTTAGAAACTTTATAAGCAGAGTTAAAGCTTTAAGTGATGAAATATTTATGGATGATAATATTAAACAAATTAAAAAAATACTAAATAATAATAACTATCCTAAATATTTCGTTAACAAAATATTATTATCAAATAAACATACACAATTAGTTAAAAACACAACAGTGAGCAATTCTAACAATATTAAAAAAAGGTGCACTTTTCCAAACATTCCTGGTTTATCTCAAAAAATTTCGAAACTTTTCAAAGAAGAACAAATTATTGACGTTGTATTATATAATTTAAAAACAACCAATGTTTTTTTCTCAAAGCTGAAAGATCAAGAGAAAAAAGAAAATTTGTCTAATCTAATATATAAGATTAATTGTAATGATTGCAGTAAATCTTATATAGGAATGACGAAACAAAAATTATCAAAAAGGTTAAGTGAGCATAAAAGTACGTGCAGACGCACTGATGATTATAAAAAAACAGCCTTATCTGAACATCATCATTCAGCTAAACATACTTTCAATTTCGAAGATGCTTCAATTCTTGAAATTGAAAATAATTACCAAAAAAGAGTACTAGCTGAAGTCATACACATTATATTAAATTACAACCAGGTGGTGAATTTTAAAAAAGACACAGAGAATTTCAGTGCTCTTTATTCTAATATACTTGACAAATATCGGTTAAAAGAAAACAAAAAAAAAAAAAAAGAAGAAAGAAAATAATTTGACCGTTTGATATTGATTCTGAGATGTTTTAAGAGAAATAATAATAATGTATATTATATTTTTTAAATTTATTAAACAAAGACAACTATATAAGTTGTACTAAAGTTTTTGACATAACAAAATAGATTTTATAATTCCATTTTCCTTATTTTTGTTTCTATGTTTATTATTGTCTGATATCGAACATATGTGATGTTAAAAACAAAAATAATTATTGTTAATTTAATATTTGTGCCTTTAATAGTGTCATTTTATATATATGTTACTTTACGTATATATTGTTTTTAATTGTAATTTTATAAACCTTAAGTTAAGCTTTTTATTAAAAAATTAAGGTAATATTTTAATTGTAATGTGTAACTTTTATAAGTTTTATTTTGTAATTTTTTTGTATAATTATTATAGCACTGAAGATGTTCTAAAATTAAGAACGAAATATCTGCTTCTAAAAATTTTTAAATAAAAGCGTTTTATTGTGGTTGGTCTGATAGCTGAAAAAATTTTTCAACTTAAATAATACGAAACCAGATGATAAACAAACTTAATCATTAATAATAAATTATTTATGCAATAATATTTTTGTGAAACAATATAGGCATCAGCATTGTACGATTCCTTTATATAATTTCTTCACATAACAGTTCATATGTTAGCATAAGCAGAGAACTCTCTTGTTAAGATTATGGAATCAAATTAGTATAAAATATAGAGAACATAAAATTCTCAAAAGTATTCCATTAAACACTTTTGACAAATTATTTTTTGTGCACATATTATATACAATCTCTACTTCATATTTTATATAAAATAAAATATTTAAAAAATTTTACAAATATAGTTTGGAATATGAAAAGATATCAAGCATTTTTATATTCTACTATTCTACTTGTATAATAGACCTAAACTGCAGCATTTCTATATAAGAGACTGTCATTAACGCAAGGACCAAACTGTTTGAAATATTTTGATAATAATATTCTAATGTTATTTCTGGAGAAAAATATGTTTGCTAATGAAAAAACGATTCCAAAAAAAATGTTAATGAAAATCTCTTTAAAAATATTGAAAATCAATCTAGTATAACAAACATGTAGTCAATAATAATATAATAATGATGTTTAGTCAAGCTCCTACCATATAAGAGAAAATAATAATGTTATTTCTAACATAATATTGCAAACAATTGGTGGAAAATGTCCTACTCGTATTTTATCAGTATAATTAGAAGTAAAAATTATTGTAGTGACTGTCAATTGAAATGAAAAATACTATTATATGTTATATAAAAAGAAAAATAAAAGAAAATCATATGGAAATAAAATTTAAATTAAAAGGAAGTGATCTATGTACTTGATAATACACTAGCATATTTTTGATATGTTCCATTAAGGTTTTTAATATAAAGTGATTTTATTCGTTTATAGTACTGTACAAAATGTTAGAAATTCGACTATGTGTTACAATCTTCATTGCACTTGTTAAACTGAACGTTTTTATAGATAAAAACAAGGCCGTTGTTGTTAACGGTTTATATGAGAGCGGGTTGAATTGCAAATCCAAAACGAATTTTACCGATTATCTTATTTTAAAGAATGAGTCAAATGTATTACAACAATTTCCGAATTTCTATACTCGTATATTGACCTTTTAGCAATCAGTTTAAAGGGCAAAATTTAGTATAAATACTTAAATAATTCAATTTATTTATCAGTTCAACAATTAGTTTCCAACAGCAGAGTAATCTTATCCATTGTATAATATTAGAGTATAGTTTTAAAATCATAAAATTTTATAATGAAACTACTAAGCATTGGTGGATTAGTTTTTGTACTTGTTGGATTGGCTTCAGCAGGACATCATCATGGTGGTGGTGGTGATGGTGGTGGTCATGGTGGTTCTGTTAGTTATAGTGTTGTAACAAAGCACGACGATTCACATGGACACGGTGGTCACGGTGGTCATGGCGGTCATGGTGGTCATGATGGCCATCATGAACATAGCAGTTATGTTATAACTTCGCATGGTGGAGGACATGACGGCGGACATGGTGGATATGATGGTGGACATGGTGGTCATGATGGCGGTCACGATGGAGGACATCATGGCGGTCACGAAGCTCACCATTATCCTAAATATGAGTTCAGTTATGGTGTTGAAGATAAACATCATGGAGATAAAAAAAGTCAATGGGAACATCGTGATGGTGATCATGTGAAAGGTAATGAAGTACATTTGTATATAATTTTATTAACATATTCACATAATATAATTATTTACATTGTTTTTATAGGTAGTTACTCACTTAAGGAAGCTGATGGCACTACTCGTGTTGTAGAATACACTGCTGATAAACACAGTGGATTCAATGCTAAGGTCCATAAAATCGGACATGCCCACGGTGGTCATGATGGAGGTCACGATCATGGTCACGGACATGGTCATGGTCATGGACATGGTGGTCATGGAAGCAGTTACGTTAATGTTAAACAACATCATTAAATGCAAAAGAATTTCATATTGAAAAGCTATAGAATATATATCAGTGCAAACTGTTAAAATAGTTGTTTAATATGTAAATAATAAATACGAGTATTCATATAGGAATAAAAATGTTTTACTTTGAAAATGTTTACGATATAAGATATAGTGTTTAATTTGTTAAATTTTTGATTACAATATTGAAATGGAAATTGCTTTCGAATAAGTGGAGTACATCTGCATATCATTTACTAAGTACCCAATAATTACAAAACTTTTAAGAGAAGGGTGAAAAATAGCTATTTGGTTCTTTATTTTTTTAAAGTATTAGTCAATTTATTAGTCATTAATTAATTTATTATTCGTTCCAAACTGAAACAAAACTTCACCAATTTAAAGAGAATAAACTATGAAGAAGTTACCAATATATTAATATAGATTATTTATCTTATTTAACGTCTCCGTACATTATATGTTTTTAGAAAATAAATTATAAATATTTTGTAGAAATTTTAAGAAAATAGCTTGTTTGCATTTACATTTTGAGTCTGTTTGTTTTGAAATCGTCTTTGTTGTATTAAATTTGAAGATCAGTCAATAAATTATTTATGCAATAATATTTTTGTGAAGCAATATAAGCATCAGCATTGTACGATTCCTTTATATAATTACTTCACATAACAGTTCATATGTTAGCATAAGTAGAGAACTCTCTTGTTAAGATTATGGAATCAAATTAGTATAAAATATAGAGAACATAAAATTCTCAAAAATATTCCATTAAACACTTTTGACAAATTATTTTTTGTGCACATATTATATACAATCTCTACTTCATATTTTATATAAAATAAAATATTTGAAAAATTTTACAAATATAGTTTGGAGTATGAAAAGATATCAAGCATTTTTATATTCTACTATTCTACTTGTATAATAGACCTAAACTGCAGCATTTCTATATAAGAGACTGTCATTAACGCAATGACCAAACTGTTTGAAATATTTTGATAATAATGTTCTAATGTTATTTCTGGAGAAAAATATGTTTGCTAATGAAAAAACGATTCCAAAAAAAATGTTAATGAAAATCTCTTTAAAAATATTGAAAATCAATCCAGTATAACAAACATGTAGTCAATAATAATATAATAATGATTTTTAGTCAAGCTCCTACCATATAAGAGAAAATAATAATATTATTTCTAACATAATATTGCAAACAATTGGTGGGAAATTTGTCCTACTCGTATTTTATCAGTATAATTAGAAGTAAAAATTATTGTAGTGACTGTCAAGTGAAATGAAAAATACTTTTATATGTTATATAAAAAGAAAAATAGAAGAAAATCATATGGAAATAAAATTTAAATTAAAAGGAAGTGATCTATGTACTTGATAATACACTAGCATATTTTTGATATGTTCCATTATGGTTTTTATTATGAAGTGATTTTATTCGTTTATAGTACTGTACAAAATGTTAGAAATTCGACTATGTGTTACAATCTTCATTGCACTTGTTAAACTGAACGTTTTTATAGATAAAAACAAGGCCGTTGTTGTTAACGGTTTATATGAGAGCGGGTTGAATTGCAAATCCAAAACGAATTTTACCGATTATCTTATTTTAAAGAATGAGTCAAATGTATTACAACAATTTCCGAATTTCTATACTCGTATATTGACCTTTTAGCAATCAGTTTAAAGTGCAAAATTTAGTATAAATACTTAAATAATTCAATTTCTTTATCAGTTCAACAATTAGTTTCCAACAGCAGAGTAATCTTATCCATTGTATAATATTTGAGTATAGTTTTAAAATCATAAAATTTTATAATGAAACTACTAAGCATTGGTGGATTAGCTTTTGTACTTGTTGGATTGGCTTCAGCAGGACATCATCATGGTGGTGGTGGTGATGGTGGTCATGGTGGTTCTGTTAGTTATAGCGTTGTAACAAAGCACGACGATTCACATGGACACGGTGGTCATGGTGGTCATGGTGGTCATGATGGCCATCATGAACATAGCAGTTATGTTATAACTTCGCATGGTGGAGGACATGACGGCGGACATGGTGGATATGATGGTGGACATGGTGGTCATGATGGCGGTCACGATGGAGGACACCATGGCGGTCACGAAGCTCACCATTATCCTAAATATGAGTTCAGTTATGGTGTTGAAGATAAACATCATGGAGATAAAAAAAGTCAATGGGAACATCGTGATGGTGGCCATGTGAAAGGTAATGAAGTACATTTGTATATAATTTTATTAACATATTCACATAATATGATTATTTACATTGTTTTTATAGGTAGTTACTCACTTAAGGAAGCTGATGGCACTACTCGTGTTGTAGAATACACTGCTGATAAATACAGTGGGTTCAATGCTAAGGTCCATAAAATCGGACATGCCCACGGTGGTCATGATGGAGGTCACGATCATGGTCACGGACATGGTCATGGTCATGGACATGGTGGTCATGGAAGCAGTTACGTTAATGTTAAACAACATCATTAAATGCGAAAGAATTTCATAGTGAAAAACTATAGAATATATATCAGTGCAAACTGTTAAAATAGTTGTTTAATATGTAAATAATAAATACGAGTATTCATATAGGAATAAAAATGTTTTACTTTGAAAATGTTTACGATATAAGATATAGTGTTTAATTTGTTAAATTTTTAATTACAATATTGAAATGGAAATTGCTTTCGAATAAGTGGAGTACATCTGTATATCATTTACTAAGTACCCAATAATTACAAAACTTTTAAGAGAAGGGTGAAAAATAGCTATTTGGTTCTTTGTTCTTTTAAAGTATTAGTCAATTTATTAGTCAATATAATTATAGATTTGTTGTAAATTCGTTTTAATTTGAAACAAAACTTCACTAATTTAACGAGAATAAACTATGAAGAAGTTACCAATATATTAATTTAGATTATTTATCTTATTTAAAGTCTTCGTATTAGGAAGTATTTGAAACACGCTCAAATATTTTAAACATTATATGTTTTTAGAAAATAAATTATAAATATTTTGTAGAAATTTTAAGAAAATAGCTTGTTTGCATTTACATTTTGAGTCTGTTTGTTTTGAAATCGTCTTTGTTGTATTAAATTTGAAGATCAGTCAATAAATTATTTATGCAATAATATTTTTGTGAAGCAATATAAGCATCAGCATTGTACGATTCCTTTATATAATTTCTTCACATAACAGTTCATATGTTAGCATAAGTAGAGAACTCTCCTGTTAAGATTATGGAATCAAATTAGTATAAAATATAGAGAACATAAAATTCTCAAAAATATTCCATTAAACACTTTTGACAAATTATTTTTTGTGCACATATTATATACAATCTCTACTTCATATTTTATATAAAATAAAATATTTGAAAAATTTTACAAATATAGTTTGGAGTATGAAAAGATATCAAGCATTTTTATATTCTACTATTCTACTTGTATAATAGACCTAAACTGCAGCATTTCTATATAAGAGACTGTCATTAACGCGAGGACCAAACTGTTTGAAATATTTTGATAATAATATTCTAATGTTATTTCTGGAGAAAAATATGTTTGCTAATGAAAAAACGATTCCAAAAAAAATGTTAATGAAAATCTCTTTAAAAATATTGAAAATCAATCTAGTATAACAAACATGTAGTCAATAATAATATAATAATGATGTTTAGTCAAGCTCCTACCATATAAGAGAAAATAATAATGTTATTTCTAACATAATATTGCAAACAATTGGTGGAAAATGTCCTACTCGTATTTTATCAGTATAATTAGAAGTAAAAATTATTGTAGTGACTGTCAATTGAAATGAAAAATACTATTATATGTTATATAAAAAGAAAAATAGAAGAAAATCATATGGAAATAAAATTTAAATTAAAAGGAAGTGATCTATGTACTTGATAATACACTAGCATATTTTTGATATGTTCCATTAAGGTTTTTAATATAAAGTGATTTTATTCGTTTATAGTACTGTACAAAATGTTAGAAATTCGACTATGTGTTACAATCTTCATTGCACTTGTTAAACTGATCGTTTTTATAGATAAAAACAAGGCCGTTGTTGTTAACGGTTTATATGAGAGCGGGTTGAATTGCAAATCCAAAACGAATTTTACCGATTATCTTATTTTAAAGAATGAGTCAAATGTATTACAACAATTTCCGAATTTCTATACTCGTATATTGACCTTTTAGCAATCAGTTTAAAGGGCAAAATTTAGTATAAATACTTAAATAATTCAATTTATTTATCAGTTCAATAATTAGTTTCCAACAGCAGAGTAATCTTATCCATTGTATAATATTAGAGTATAGTTTTAAAATCATAAAATTTTATAATGAAACTACTAAGCATTGGTGGATTAGCTTTTGTACTTGTTGGATTGGCTTCAGCAGGACATCATCATGGTGGTGGTGGTGATGGTGGTCATGGTGGTTCTGTTAGTTATAGCGTTGTAACAAAGCACGACGATTCACATGGACACGGTGGTCATGGTGGTCATGGTGGTCATGGTGGTCATGATGGCCATCATGAACATAGCAGTTATGTTATAACTTCG